GAAAAAAAAAAAAAAAAAAAAAAAAAAAAAAAAAAAACACATCATAGTAAAACCAATACCTTCTCAGCTTCGCATCGAAGCTAAAAATATCCAATTTTTTTTCTCCCTCCTATTTATCGTTTAATTATGAAAATTTACTTATATAAAATATAAGGATATATTTTTTATTTTAACATAGGGGAGTGTAATATAGGTCATTATTTTGTAAAACTGATAGTAAAACATTTTTGTAATGTTTGGTTTTATTTTAATTTCTTAATCTATTGTTTCTAAATATAATATAGTCTTTTATTTGTAAAGCTAGAAGTAAAATATTTTTGTACTGTTTGGATTAATTGTAATTCCCTGAATTATTGTTACTAGACCAGTATTAGTTGTACTTTAACAGATTTCGAACCGAGATTCGGGTATAATTCGCGCGTATGTGGGTCGCCTGCTATATCTAATTTTGGCAGATCTTAATTATGATTAGTGCGGGGGCGCTTGCTTTTCATTACATCATGGTACGTCGTTTCGCGCCTAGATGAATTGTACATGTAGTATAATCCCAAGAAACTTCCTGGTCGGTTAGAAAATCATGCCCTAGATGTACGTCACAGTTCAAATTGTCCAAGATCATCAAATTATCAAATCCAATTAGTCGTCAGATCTGCGATATTCGCGATAAAAATAGTGGTGCCGGCGGTGGGTGTTGTGTGACCGTTTGCTAGTCTAACCGCGTGTGTGGGTCCTTTGTGTAAAATTCGGTAATTATGGACTATTGCCGTGGTGGTATATGATTTTGCGCTTGTTAGTCAAGTAATGCCGTCACAAAACCGTTGTTAAATTCAAGTTCCACGGCTGGAGTTATAATTTAATGCGAGTGTGTTTGTTTAGTAAATCTCGTGTGGCTTACGGTTCGAACGGGGATCGTGTAAATGGTTTGTCTGCCGGCGGTGTGAATCACAGTAAGCGGGTAAGATGTCTCGGCTGGGATCTCACCCCATTGTAATCAAAATAATTTTGGGTACATGACTCATGTTATGTTCATATAATACGGGAACTTTTGATTTCTTGGCTGTGTGATTAATTTTATTAAAGACCTTGAGGACCGCATTGTGCCACTCATTGTGGTTGGAGGGCGCTGTGAGTAACTTTAAAGGGGCTACAGCTTGTCCTACGTTGTGAACAAGGGGCTCTGATTGAGATTTGTTGGCCCGGTGTGTAGGTGAGGTGAGGTGGAAAAACCAGTTAATAACATTAAAGTATCGAAACAATGCACAGCATGCAAAGGTGAGCATACGCTAGTTAATTGTCAAGTTTTTATCAATTGGACCGTTAATGACCGGTTGCAATTTGCTCGCGATAAACACCTGTGTTTTCGATGCCTTATCGCTACTCACTATTCCACGAAATGTTCAGCAGCGACGTGTATTCTGTGTAATCGGAGACATCATACATTATTGCACATTGATAGACCACCCCGCGCACCCGGCCAACCAATTGATAGTCCGTCGGCCACAGTTGATGTGCCGTCAAATAGTTTCTCGGGTCTTACAGCTAATACTACGCCGACAGTATTGCTGGGGACAGCGTTAGTTCATGTTTGTGATAGGTCGGGCACTCTTCAAATCGTACGCGTATTATTAGATTCCGGGTCGCAAATTAGTGCCATAACGACGGAATTCGCGGATCGCCTCGGTCTCCCGCGCACTTGATGGACTCAGTCCGTTACGGGTCTTTCTGGGATTCAGGTTCCCGACACCCAAGGTTTTATGACTTGTCAGATGCAGCCACGTTTTTCTAGCGAACCGGTATTGACGGTCAAAGCATGGATTTTGGCGTCAATTACAAATAATTTACCGCTGCAGGTAATTACGGCTCATTTTAAGCAAAATTATAACAATTTACCACTTGCCGACCCGTCATTCGATACGCCCGGTTCGATCGATTTTTTGCTGAGTGCTGATTTATACTCATTAATTTTGAATGGCAAACATATTGTTGTACATGACGATCTTCCCGCCGCATTCGGTTCGATATTTGGATGGGTGCTCATCGATGGCGCTCCCACCACTGTCTCCTTGCCGTGCTTAACTGCGGTATCATTAACAACCTCTTTAAAAACAAGCTTAGTTTTCCGGGATCTCGTCACTTGGTCCTTAAGCGATTCGAAAATTTCAACACGTTTTATGGCGTTCTTCGTGGACTGAGGAACTTGTTGAATATGAACTTAATACGGTGACTTATGGTGTCAACAGTTCGCCGTACCTGGAGCTGCGCGTGCTACAGTTTATAGTGGACAACGACTGTACCGACGAACCTGCCGTTCGTAACGCGTTGCGCTATCAAACGTATATAGACGACGTGTGTACCGGAGCGGATACTGTAGAAGGTGCGTTGTCGTTACAGCAGGCGTTAATTCCGGTGCTATGGAAGTCAGCGTTTGAGCTAAGGAAATGGTCAATCAATTGTATTGCTGTTTCGGTAGAACACCGTGCTGCGACGTCGTTGTCATTCGTTGACAGTGACGGGGGAGGAACAAAGGTTCTAGGACTTCAGTGGCACGCTACCGGTGATTATTTTTATTATGTGCCCCGCATAGAATCGGTAGTTGTTACTACTAAGCGAGGCGTCTTATCATTAATAGCCCGCTTGTTTGATCCACTTAGTCTTCTGTCTCCCTGTATTATTTTGACAAAATCTATTATGCAACGCACCTGGCAGCTGTCCCTAGGGTGGAACGAAAAATTACCTGATAACATTAGTATGGAGTGGTCAAATTTTGTTGCTGAACTACCGCTGTTGTCGCACATTAAAATTGCGCGTTTTATCGGCACGTGTAAAAACTTCGTCACGTGTCGGCTTCTTGGGTTTTGTGACGCGCCTCAGCGTGGCTACGCCGCTGTCATTTATTTGCGCGTCGAAAATGCATTAACTTAGTCGTCTATTTTCCTTATCAGCGCGAAAACTAAATTAGCTCCGATTAAACCACTTTCCATACCCCGTCTCGAATTAAATGCCCCAGTACTCTTAGCATGTTGGCTAGGAAAAATTAAGTCCATTTTGTCTACGGATTTAAATATTATCACAACTCAAGCTTGGACCGATTCGCTCGTGGTATTATCGTGGCTAAGTGTACCACATGATACTTTTAAGGCATATGTGTTAAATA